ACGCACGATACAAAATGGCGACTTTATAGTGACGACGAATTCAAAGTTTTTGGAGACATGATCATGATTAGGTATAATTGAAATCCTGTATTAGGATTTGTTTGTTACTCTTTCATGCAAAAACTACTTACTCAAGGGATTTTGATGAAACTTAACAAACAGACTGTGCAGAATACAATGGCACAGGACATAGAAATAAATGCATCCGTAAATAATGAGAACCTTTTATTATCAATCTCAATGAAAGATGTGGTTAAACAAACTAATAGTTTGGCGACTACAGTCTTTGCAGGCTTTGCGGCACGCCTGCTCCTCTCGGTCGCTAGAAATCGACTAAATGAGTTATTGTAACTTATCAACAACTTAATGAACAACTCAGTTCAACACAACCTGCCTTGCCTTGCCTATTAGATCTTTGTTTGTAGGCTTAAATAGGCTCCGAAACTACTAGACCAATTTGAAAAATATCTTACCATTAGATTCATAAAATTCTCATAAAAGTCTTCATAAGTGAAAATGTCAAAGAAAATCCATTTCCATACATCTCTAGCTCTCTCGCATCATCACGCCATACATATTTTACACGCCGCAAATATAATAAACTGTGAGGAGACGCGACTCATACATTTATGCGGGTATGTATCTAGGCAGGTATGGTTGTGTCAATCCAAGATTTTGATATAAGAATATTTTGCTCGGTGAAGGAGCGCAGTGGTTTGCATTGAACACGGGTCTAAACAGTCAGTTCCATACTAATATAGTTAATTGAGATACTTTTGGACAACGATTTCTAATCGTCGTTAATAAAATGTAGGTATCAGAAATTAATTTGAAAATGGGATACATAAAAATTGTAAAACTGTTAACGCTAAAAACAACGTAATGTAGGTTTTATATTCTTAAGAGATACAATAAATTAAAAAACGTAAGTCCCCAACTCACCTACTTGTATGGTAGCATTTGCCTTCAATCTTGATCCGGGTTCTACGACTATCTTTTTTTTTTATCCACAACGAGGAAGCTCTTGGCCTGTATCTCACCGGATGGTAAGTGACGATCAGGCCGAAGGTGAAAGCGAGCTTCATCCGGAATCCTCAACCACGGAGGATCACTCTTCTTCCACCCTTTAGTTGCTGATCATCATTATCGTCAACATCAGATTATTTATTCTCCTCTGCAGGAACACGACTCTTTCCAATTTACTACAAAATAGAGGATTTAGGTGGACCGACGACATCGTAAAGGTAGCAGGGAAGCGCTGGATGCAGGCCGCTACCAATCGATCAACGTGGAAAGCATTAGGTGAGGCCTATGTTCAGCAGTGGACGTCCTAAGGCTGAAATGAGGATGATGATGATGAGAGGATTTAGCACACACCCCACAATGATCAGTAGTGTTTGGGACGCATGATGATCACGTTTTTCCTTAGTCACCTCTTATGATATCCACTCGAAAGTGGGTTTGGGCCTTTTCTACTTACTCTGTCGGAACTACACATTAGCTGGCTTTATCATCATTTCAGCCACAGGACGTCTCTGAACATTGGCCTCCCCCGATGATTTCTATATTGACCGGTTGGTACCGGTAGCGGTCTGCATTCAGCGTCTTCCTGCTAAGGTCTTCCCTTAGGAGGTCGTCGGTCCACATAGTACGCCTCCTTCCTCTTCGGTACGTCTTACACTCCAGAACCTTGCTGCCCCATCGGCCGTTAGTTCTGCGTGCTAAGTGCCTTGCCCATTGCCACTTCAGCTTGCTAATCCGTTAGGCTTGCTTGGCTAACTAACTTTGCTCCTGCTAATGTTTTAAAATATACTTATAATGATGTACCTACTTAACATCAAACAAAACTCCCCAAAATAATCTCAACTGATAATTCCGTCACGCTACTTACATAAATCCAAAAAATCTGTAAATTGCCCTCTTACTTACTTACCAAAACGAATCCATCCGATTTCGCTCCCTTGTAGGTAGCCATTGCGATTCATTTACTGTACACAAAATACCTTTTGTTCATCCTGCCATATAAAATCCAACTCTATCTTTACTGCAATAAGGGTCACAAAAAAGTACAGTTTATTATGTGCTACCACCCGCAGAGTCTATTTGAACTTTAGAAGAGCCGCTATTTTTTCGCTTTTGTTACAATTTTTTCAATAACTATTGTAGTCCACTAAACACCGTAATGATCTGAATTGGATAAAGCTGAGGGCCCGTCATAATAATATTTTGTTTGTTAAATAAACAAAATAATGCAACGCGATTGTCGGGATTAATTTTGCTATGGTAGTAAATAAGGTAAGTGCCCCCTACTTCGGTATATTAAGGCTCTTACGACTTTAACATTTTATTTAAAAATAACCAAGCATGATATCAGTATGAAAGCTTTTGTATGCTAAACTTTGGTCTTTTGACAGTAAGTTAATATATAATTTATAGTTATATAGTTTGAACTTTTTTTTATATTAATTGTTCTGCGGACCTCTTGTTTGGATCCTGTTTCGTGACAAAATTTTGCTCTGTTTCTAAGTTCGTGAACTCATGTCCCCTATTTCGGGATAAGGTTTTATGCATACAGTTAGGATATTTTAATAATGATTAAGGGTTTAATAAATTTAAAAACGATAATAAAAATTTAGAATAAAATAATTATGTGAAATTGACGATATTACTTACCTGAAATATTCATAAGAAATAATGTGAGTCTAGTAAAATATTTTGATTTGTTAATTCTAACAATATGTGAAAATATTTCTATAACCATTAGAAATGTAGGGGGGGGGACTTACCCCCCACCCCCCTCGTACCCATAAATTTTTGATTTGCAACCCCCCCTCCCTTATCCCTATAATCCCACCCCTGGAGCTGTTTCAAGTGAGGGTAGCCCCCCCCCCTGAAAATAACCCCAGATACGCCAATGACTCATAATAAAAAAAAAGTTATTAACTAATTCATTTCTTAGGTAGGTAAGTATTAAAAACTAAAAAATATATCGATTTCTTTGATGGTGTGTGTCATAAAAGTACCAAACACCATACATTTATATATCACGAACTTGGAAAAAAGTAACAATAATACGGTTCCTTGTTTCGTGATACTGATTATTCCAAATTCCCCAAGTAAAATTCATGGATTATTGTCAAAATGTGTCAATTAACTATTATCTATCCCATATACAATACAAATAAACAAAGATAAATAAAACAAATCGAAATAAAACCAAAATTATGCTGGTACTACTTATGCTAATTTATCTTAAAATTGGTCATATATGTGAACTTCAAACTCGTGTCGTATAAATTCTAGTGAACGAAACATATACCGAATTTAGGTCATGAGAAACTTAAATAAATGCATTATTTGTTTCATAACTTACATTTAAATTATCATAAATAATTATTTAAAAACCAAGCATCAAAATGTTATCCATAATATCCTTGAATCGGTAGTGTTACGAAATAGGGGACACCCGAAAAATAATATGTACGCTATTTCGTGAGTCAATTAATCGCAATTTTAAAGGAATTCTACGTTTTCATATAACTTTTTTCTAAGCCAAATCAATTGTCAAGGAACACATAAAACCACTATTACAAGTTTTATTTAAATGGACGTTCCTTCGCCTTTTTATAAGCTTAAGAAGTTGGAGCGCTAACCTTACGGTGAGAGCAACCTTTGTAAGCCGCTCGGCTGTTTTTGGCTCTCTGAGAGTTTGAAGCTTCGTATTGCTCTCATTTTTGGCGCCACAATGTTGGTACTTGGTTTTTTAGATAGCTTAAATAATAGAGTTTTTGTAGTAATGAAGAATTTTTATAAATAATATTCCATTTGCTTATTATTTGAGCTAGAAAAAAAACTTACGAACTTACGTACTATCACGAACTAGTAGCCGTTTACCTTAATACGGGGTAGGTAATTCAAGTGAGTATAAGTTGTTGCAATTCACGAAGGCGAGTGAGCTTTATATGTGTGGTGGCTCGCTACTGTTCGTTTTCCAAAAGTTGTGCACGTATACACACAAGTAAAGCTCACTCGCCTTCGTGAGTTGCAAGAACTATACCTATAGCATACATAATACAGTTTTCAAGCCTAACGATTGGTATTAATTTTCTTCTTGGCGGGAAAGTGAAGGGTTTATTCGTTTCATATTCTGAGTAACAGAGTAAGTATTTACCTAGCGGAATATTAATTTTAAATAATGGCGGATTATTATTCATCATTTGGTGTTCTTCAACATACTTCCTCCTTCAGCTAACACTGAGACAAAAATCACTTACGTTTTCGATATAAAAACTAAATTAATGCGACTTCTGAAAAGATATCTTCAAACGGATATGAGAACCTCCTCCTTTTGTTGAAGTCGGTTAAAATAACGTTAACTATGGTACAACTACTGCCATCTCTTGAAAATTTTGGAACTACTTAGCCGTCACGGAGGTTATACTAGCGCCATCTCTATGTCCTAATAAGAATAAAATTCGCGCTATTTCACAACGCGTCATCGGCATGCTTGGTTTTATACGCTTCTACAAAAAATCGATAGAGGGCGGTAATTGACAAAAGCGCGTTAGTTTTTAAATTTTATGTCAACATCAAATAAATATTAATATATAAAAAAAATATAAGTAGAAAATCACATAAAAATCCTGTACTTAATAGTAGGTATATTTACGTACAAAATACCACTGATTTTGGCTTTTGCAATGGTAGTTTCACTACAGGTAAGTAGGGCCTAAATTAAAATTAATACGTTATTGTGATGTCACGAACTAGTATTGCACTTTGTACATAGTTCGTGATAATACCCAAAGTAGCCAAAAAGATCGCAACACTTCTCTGTTATAATGAGGGTTTTCGCGAATGAAAGATCCGCTAGATGGCGGGACGTGGATGTGGGGTCTGACTGCTACATGATTGGTGGATTTTGACATACCTGTCAATGTCATGTCAAAAATAACCAATCATGCAGCATTTGGACCTCGCGTCTACGTATTGTCATCTGGCGGATTTTTCATTCGCGAAAACCCTCATTGGAATAAGGTTGTGTCAACTTTTTGGCTACTTTGGGTGTCACGAACCATTTGTTGATGACTGTAAAGGTTCCATTTAAACCTATCTTTACAACTCGGTATTTTTCTTGGACCTCTTTAGTCTTCTACCCGATATATCTATATCTAATCTTGGTGGAGTCCAGTCGTCGACCACTCTCTCCTCAATGATGTGTCTGTAGACAAGGGCAGACTCTCTCGCTGTCCTTTTCTTGTCTTCCGAATCGAAATCCACTTCGTATAGGCCGAAGCGTTCACTGTAAAACAAATAAACATTATCCTACTAATATTATAAATGCGAAAGTTTGGATGTCTGGACTCTGGATGTCATGATGTCTGAATGTCTGGATGTTTGTTACTCTTTCACGCAAAAACTACTGAACGCATTTTGTTGAAAGTTTACAGTATTATTGTTTATAACCCAGATTAACATATAAGCTATAATTTATGACGATATGTGACAAATTTTCAATAAATAAATAAGACGTGTCTAAAAAGCGCCATCTATCGTCATTGGTTAAAGTCTGCAGCGCTGGACAAACTACTGTTTCTGACGTTCGTAAATATTCATGCGGGGAAGCCGTAAAACGCCATCTAACAACAGATTTTACAAACTAAGGGGGTAAAACGAGGTCCACGCGTACGAAGTCGCGGGCAGCCGCTAGTTTGATTATAATTTGGGAATAATGACATTAAGTTCTGTGATTAGAAAAGGGGAAAGAAGACCCTAAGATGCTGTAAACAAGGTCCACACACAAAGTGAGGCCTCAGGCAGATAAGCCCGCGTCTTGAAAGTTAGCGGTAATAAGAGGAAAAAAGAGACCTTAAGACACTAAACATAAGGTGTACATTTCTCAGAGAAGCTGACGACTAACTGGACGCTACAGGTCAGACGCAGATCGTAGAAACTAAAAAAATACCTAATACGCTAGGAATAAGGTCTATTTTTGAAGACATGATTCCACTCAAAATTGTCTTCAGGAGAAGGTTTCAGGCAGTGTAGCCGCTAAGACGCTGTCAATAGGGTCTACATTTAGCTCAGCAATGACAGACAGAGGTTGACAACCTAGGCATATGGCAGGGGAAGCCGAAGACCTTAAGGTACTAGATATAAGGTTTATTTCCCACCAACCTGATGCCACTAGCCCACTCCAAATTATCCATGAGACTCCAAGCAGTATATCCTGCGACTCGAGATCCATCTTCCATGGCCAGAAGTAACGCTCACATGAACTATAGAAGCTACCCTATAAAGCTTACAATAAGATCTATAAACCGCCTCTGTGGTCTAGTGGTAAGACCACCTGCTTCAGACGCAGAGGTCCCGGGTTCGATTCCCAGTGGGGGCAGATTTTTCTGTTCGGTTTGGTTGGTGGTAGGGCTTGTTCTAAATCCGCCTGGCTAGCTACCACCATCTTACCTAAGTCTGTCGCCATAACAACAATGTTAACAGCATTGTTGTGTTCCGGCAGTTAGAGGTAAGATAAGGTAAGCCAGTTCCTCCGTGGTTGAGGATTCCGGGTGAAGCTCGCTTCCACCTTCGGCCTGATCGTCACTTACCATCAGGTGAGATACAGGCCAAGAGCTTCCTCGTTGTGGATAAAAAAATGCACCAACCTGATGCCACTAGCCCACTCCAGGTTATCCATAAGACTCCAAGCAGTATATCCTGCGACTCGAGATCCATCTTCCATGGCCAGAAGTAATGCTCGCATGAACTATAGAAGCTACCCTATGAAGCTTACAATAAAGTATACATTTGCACCGACATGGATACTGCTAAAGCCCGGTCTGTGAGCACGTAGAATTTTGTCCAATGACCCCAAGCTACCCATCCTTATCGCTCGCGCGTAATTATGTTGCTGTCGCGATCGCACACTCACTGCGGGCGCCCGTCGTACAGTCGCGACAGCAATATAATTACGCGCGAGCGATAAGGATGGGTAGCTTGGGGTCATTGGACAAAATTCTACGTGCTCGCAGACCAGACTATAGTCAAAAGTAGATCAGGCTAGAGCATACCCTATGAAGCTTACAATAAGATCTATATTTCCACCAACCTGACACCACTAGCCCACTCCAGGTTATCCATAAGACTCCAAGCAGTATATCCTGCGACTCGAGATCCATCTTCCATGGCCAGAAGTAACGCTCGCATGTAATCCTTCATACATTGCACGCGGCTTTGGTCCCATAAACCGGCGTTGGTAGACCACCCGTGTTCCGTGATGATTATTAGAGGGTAGTCATAGTTTTGGTTGATGTGGAGAAGCGCTTTGTATATACCGAAGGCGTAGCTCTGGAATAATAATGTTAAAAATATAGTCTCAAATGAAGCAAAGCTTGGAATATGGGTATCGGAAAACGGAACAGAACGGATACTTAGTTAAATTGTAGGATATACTTAGGTATTATAGTTGTAGGTATCTTACTTTAACTATATCAAACGTCAAAGTCTGTCAAACTCCATCCACAACGAGGAAGCTCTTGGCCTGTATCTCACCTGATGGTAAGTGATGATCAGGCCGAAGGTGGAAGCGACCTTCACCCGGAATCCTCAACCACGGAGGAACTGGCTATCTTACCTCTAACTGCCGGAACACAACAATGCTGTTAACGTTGTTATGGCGACAGACTTAGGTAAGATGGTGGTAGCTAGCCAGGCGGACTTAGAACAAGCACTACCACCAACCAAACCGAACAGAAAAATCTGCCCCCACTGGGAATCGAACCCGGGACTTCTGCGTCTGAAGCAGGTGGTCTTACCACTAGACCACAGAGGCGGTTAGAATGACTTTGTTTGAGCTTCTTTACAATGACTCACTTGACTTGTCCGTGGTGCATAATCTTTTCTTAAAGGTTTTAAACCTTTGTTTGTCACCTGTCATCCGCTTTGCAATGGAGGGACGTCGAACCTTAATTTCGAACTCCTATGTTCTTCTGATTAATTTCGTTGCGGGTCCAATGACAGTTTAACTTTCCCCCGGGACAAACTTGACCTTCATTGGTTGGGTTTTTGTGGCGGTCAAGCTGTAGATCCTGGCTACACAGGAGTTGCAGTGGTGGGAACGAGAGGTGGGAATAGTCCCGTTTACAATGACTCACCTTCAACCAAATAGACTTAGCGCCCCTCCAGTTTGTATCCTGGCTGAATTCCACGCCGATATCGTCCTGGTAAGACGGCGAAGGAAATTGCTGCGTGGACCGCTTGACCAGCATCGTGGTATAGTGGTTCATGCCTAGGAAGTCGGCCGATTCTGAAGAATAAGATAATAGTTTTAGAAGGAAAGAAACATTTCAATGAACAGAAAGTAAGAAACATTGCAATGAACATCACTCAAAGACAAAAAAACTTAAAAGTAGCACATAAAACATTTACGGCCGTATTCACATTACTATGAGGTCTCACAGTGCGCGTGGACGCACAGGGTGCACGAACCAATCACAGAGCTCTATTATTCAACGCTGTGCGTTCGACTTCGCATAGGGTTAAGTGAAGCAGCAAATCGAACGCACAGCGTTGAATAGAGACTGTGAGACCTCATAGTAATGTTTGTGAATACGGACATTAGACGCTCAGATGAAATTCCCCGCACCCCGCGCTTCCCTCAACCAAAAAGTGGTGGGGCGCGTTTTCATTGATGAAACGATCTACACCAGTGTTTTTCAACCTGTGGGTCGCGACCCCTTGGGGGGTCGCCAAGCCTCTATAGGGGGGTCGCGAGAGGTCGTAAAAACTACTTCAGTAAAAAAAATTCTTATAAAGACAGATTAATCCGAAATCTAATTATGCAAATGTTGTATGGGTTGAAGTACGAGTATTCAGTCCCTACAAACATCTTTGCAACATTATAAAACGCATGAAAAAAAAAGCGAACGGTCGGGGGTTCGTCAAAATTGTTTTCATACTAAGGGGGTCGTGTCATGAAAAAGGTTGAAAAACACTGATCTACACAACTGGCTTGAAAATTTTCAACAAGGGTAGGAAAGACCAGTGGACAGTTAAGGGGGTCTCAATAATTCAAGTAGGTATTTAACTGTTTTTTTATTAAGATTATCCGTTTTAAAAATGTATCAAAACCACTTACTTTTCAACAGCTTCTTCTCCTCAGCAGAGAGGCTCGGCAGGCGAGACTTGAAGAAGCCTTGCTTCAAGCTCTTCTTCGCCACGATGTCTTTCACCACTTGAGGGAAGTCCCCGTACGGAGACCAGATCGGGTTTAGGTACATCCCTATCTATAAATAATAATCCCATCAAAAACAATACTTGTCAAAAAAACCAAGTCTCGCAACTCAGTTGTTCTACGGTAAAAAGTTGTGAGATCCATGTAATACCAAGTCCAGGCCAGGAAATCTTTAACGTTTTACATAAATTATTGACTTGGCCATCGCACTAAATAATTTAATTTACACGTGTTTTCATGCCGCTTTTTTGCTCGACTTGGTGGCACTGCCGTGCCCCCAGATAATAAAATAAACTGTTTCAGATTACGAAGAGAAAAATTAAGATTTTTTTTTCCGGAATACCGTTTTTCTCTTGACTGTTACACAGAACGAAATCTTTTAACTCGTTGGTAAATAAATTACGATTGTTAGTTAGAATTAAATTACATTAGAAATCGTGATTCATTGACGGCCGCAGTGAGTGTGCGAGCGCGACAGCAACATAATTACAAGCGAGCTTGGGGTCATTGGACGAAATTCTAAGTGCTCGGCGACCGGGCTTTAGTAAAACTCATAATCGGTCCATACATGTTTATGGAATAAATGACTATGACTACGTTTGACTGATTTTTTCGGTTAAAAAAGTGGTTTTTACGTATTATGAGTTTTAACTGTAGCATAAGCATAATTCCTGGATGCGAGCTTTGCACGAACGGAAATCCTTGCCAAAAGCCTTTGTCCAGCACTGGACCGTCATTTAGAACAAGAATAAAAATACTTTATTCAGCATTTTAAAAAAACAGTACATAACATTAACCTAGAAGCTATGCTGAAGAGGCGTCCGCTCAGCAATATTCGCGACATAACAAGCGCCATGTCGAGAAGCTGGTTTTCAACGGGACCAACACACGATGAGGATTGCGGATTGCGCGCCCTCTTGACCGAGACCTTTGAAAACTATTGATTTTGTTGTTAACTTACACTGAATTCCCTGTACTCCTCTGTAGCTTGAACATTTTCAGTCTTGTTGTTGATTGGATTGGCCCAGTTCACGGATATCGATATGCCGACGTAACCTGCATATAATTTTATGTTTAGAATTCTTAATCATAGAGCTCAAAAATAAATAAACTGTTATTTCAGCCACATATTTCTCTTTTTCTACGTTTGGTTATCGCGAACTACTGTGGGGACGTAAGTGGATCAGCGATCGGCGAACGTCTCCGAACGCGAGCAGTATTCGGTTCGCCAGCGAACATAGATGATCGCTTTATTATCCAGTTACTTATAGGTGACCTACTAAATTAATCTTGGCAAGGATTCATTTTAGGTTCTAACACTAGATTTCTATGGCTGGTACGAAAAATTAACTCACCATTATATTTGCTCTTATACTCTCTCTCATACAGCCTATAAGCCTTCGCATGCGCCAACAAAACATTTTTGATGCAAATATAATCTGCTATCCCTTTCATATCCACGCCCGGCGCCATAATGCTATCTCCATACCCTTCCAAACATATGGAATTGGGTTGGTTCATCGTGGTCCAATATTTGACCTTACTAGCATATCTGTCAAAGACAACCCTAGCGTAGTCTTCGAACCACCCGATGGACAAAGGGTTGGCCCAACCGCCCAAGTCTTGCAAACGTTGGGGCAAATCAAAGTGGTACAATGTGATCATGGGCTCGATTTTGTATGTTAGTAACTCGTTGATAAGGTTATCGTAGTATTGGAAACCTTCCTCGTTTATCTGGTTGGGGAAACCTGGAAGATAAAGATAATATTTTATGTTATATAAAATTGTTGCTAACATTAATCAAGGTCAAAAGGCTAATTTAATACTATAAGGCAATGTTTCCCAAAGTTGTCTGGGCTACGACTCATCTAATACAAGTTCCCAAACTCGGGACCCACCTATAGGAAATTTCGCTCCCTGCCCAGCGGTTGGATCGGTAGGGCGGTGTGTCGTTCTACAGGCAGGGCCCACTCAATGATCGCTCGCGACCCACCATTGGGTCGCGACCCATAGTTTGGGAAACCCTGCTAAGGCATTATCTTCCTATACCACAGATACCTAATACTAGCCTATGTCATATTGGGCTGAGTTAGCCGTACAATAAAAATAATTACATTCAGAATTATAGTGTTTCGTTTCTCTTAATAAAAAGTTTGATAGTTTGCCTACAATTAGGTTGGTATCACGTCTATACCAACGACATAAACTAAATAAAATGGCCTTTACATTGGATGTCTTTTACGCTTACGCAAGAAGGAGTCAAACAACTGAGTCAATAGTTATAGCAAATTCAGTGTAGGTACTATGGACCACTTATTACAGAAAAGTTTTAGTGAAAGAAAGATAGATATTTAGTTTATTTGGCATCAAGTAGTATAGTTGTTGTCATTAAAACTTATTTAAAAACTATTAACTACAAACAAAAAAGCAAGACAAAACATCTGATTATGACCCAAGTCGATTCGTTCGTTTCAGCCGAAAGACGTCCACTGCTGGACAAAGGCCTCCCCCAAGGATTTCCAAAAGACCGGTCCTGCGCCGCTCGCATCCAGGCACCTCCCGCGACCCTCACCAGATCGTCGGTCCACCTAGTGGGAGGCCTGCCCACGCTGCGTCTTCCGGCTCGAAAAAAAAACTATTTGTAACTAAAACTTACCCGATGGCATGACTCTTGGCCAAGATATAGAGAACCGGTAATGGTCCACTCCCATCTCCCTCAGCATCTCCACGTCTCTCTTATAGTGGTGGTAGGAGTCACTGGCCACGTCTCCGTTGGTACCGTCCGGGACTAAGTCCGGGTTCTCGTGGAGGAACCGATCCCATATACTTTCACCTTTGCCTGGAATTTTTTCAGGTAATATGAGACTTGGTTGACATGTTTTGAGACTGAGTTTTATCATTAATGACCCATCAAAATCAACTTAAGGCAATTCAAAACAGTTGATCAATTAATAAGTATTGATAGATTTCTCGGAAGTTTATATCAGTCAGCGTCAAATAGTTCGTGACCAAAGTAGCCAAAAAGTTTGCAAACGCGTCTTTGTTAGGTTTTTTGTCAACTTTTTGGCCACTTTGGGTGTCATGAACTATTTGATACTGACTGTACTACAAAAGTTAGGTCACTCATTACTATTAAGAAAAAAACTTTAGCTATTAAAGTAAGACTAAAATATACTCACCATCGAGATTCCAAGCTCCTTCTACTTGGTAAGCCGCAGAGCCTACTCCAAACATGAAGCTGTCAGGAAATCTACGTATTTTTGTGTCGGTCCATCCTTCTACTAGCCCAAGGATGCTGAAATAAGACCAAATGAAAAAAGGCGAGTGAGCTTTACTATAAACTAAGCACATTAATTTCAGGTTACTAAAGTAAACTTTATTCGCTGAAAATAAAAACATAAGGCATATTACATCTTAAACTCAATAACAGCTCACGAGATAATTTACAGGGAATTAATTATAGGTTTAAATTTAAATAATACTAAATTCGCAAAACAGTTTCGAAAAGTTCCAGTTAATGTGTTCTGTGGATTATATTGTGTTATAAACCTCAAAAAGATCCCACGAATCGATGTGAAATATTTTCGTATTTTATTTCAAGCATATAGGTATTGAATAATATGAGAATCATGTAGGAGACATAAATTTAAAACAAACAAGTACCTTATAGCAGCAATAATCGCTGTCCAAGCCATTTTAAACGTGCACTCACGCAACAAGTCACAACTGTAGCGATAATTCACTATCAACGATACTGCATATTATTTAATTATCTACTAATCCTTTTCCTCAGTGATAAGATTTACCACTATTTGTAAAGTAGATTAATTAATTTTAAATTACGACAGTGAGTGACTATTTTCGCGCCAGTCGCAGCACAAATAAATCTTTTTTCATTCGTTCTGTGGAATGTGCAAAGGTGCAAAGTTAAGGAATATGCTGCCTATTATATAGGTGAAAAGTTTGTTTATATTTGTATTATGCTAATAAAACACTATTAATATAAATTAAAAAATCAAATTATTATTGAAGAACTTGACTTATAATTAAAGTTTTTTTTTCATGAAATTTTCAGCCACAGAGCACGTAAATTTCTCGGCATCAGAAATTCAAAACGTCATACCGTTATCCGTTATTTAGTTAATGGTATTGGCTCGGAGCAAAATCACAAAGGAGAAGTTTTATGGCAAATATACCTTCAAAAAACTTTGATAAACATTGAATCAATCGTTAAGTCGAGTCTCCAGCGCGTGTTCTTCCCTACACAATCAACAAAAACATCATGTCAACATTCAACATTTTTTGTAAACAATTTTGTTAAAATGTTGACGTCATAAATTTTTGTTGAGGTTGATTGTTTAAGGCAAAGAAATCTTAGAGCGAAATATGCGATGGGTACCCGGCTTTTGTAAGTAAGATTCTAAAGGTCCAAATTATAAACTATAGGATAGTGCCAGAGTCTGGACCAAGTGTTGTCCAGAATCAATTTGTTCCTAAGGCCTATACTAATGTGTAAACCGAAGCGCACTGAAATCTATCCCTCACCCAAAGTGGCCAAAAAGTTAACAACACAACCTTATTCAAACAAAAAATTTTTTTTTAAATCCGATTTGTATGAAAAATAAAAATAAAGATATCAAAAAATAAAAATGAAGATATCAATTTTCTGACTTCACCATACCATTTATATGTCCATGTTAACATGGGCTAGTGTCGGCTCCTATACCCATTTACCTAACACCCTGTATATCGATGATATTATTTTGTACGTAAATAATTAAAAACAAAACTCTTTTTTTCTCTTAACTCCAGGGATAGATTTCAGTGCGCTCCGGTTTACAAATTAGTATTGGCCTGCCTGAGGAAAAAAAATGAACTATGGTTTCATTCTGGGCAGCACTTGGTCCAACTTCCATACATGGATTGGCTTGCTTATTGTATGAGAATGCCTTATGGCATTAAGTTCGCCTAATGTTAATATTTTTGGCATTGAAGTATAAATAAATAAATAAATAAATAAATTGGCACTGTCCTTTCATTAATAACGTTAATGTTATAACGTTACTGATAAATAAGAAGTGGGGGCGGAATTTGACAGATAGTCGACAATCAAAATCACTAAATTAAAAAAAACTATTGTGAATTGTGATGTGTGTGTGGTGTGTATCGAGTGGGTGACTTCATACAAAAAAAATATGTTTTTCTCAGCTTTATTCGAGTAAAATCCTGAATGGAAACCTGAAATTTAAAGCTGTGTGTCCATTTCAATATATGTGAGGCATTTTAGTCCTACTCATCAAGATGCATCGACGTCGGGGCCCAAATTTTACTTACGTTAGTGGTTGCGTGAAATATATGATTTTCGCCCTGAATTTCATATTTTGGGTAAGTTTGTTGGCTTAAACTAGTTCTAGAAACTTGTGTAGTTGCAAATGATACGATAATTTCGTTGCGGTGGTGGGTAAAAACAATGATAATGCCTATAGTTAGATATAGTCATTGTTCGTGTATTCGATATGATTCATGATGTTCTCACTCTTTGTTGGGAGCGAGTTCACATGACGGTTCAATTTCCCAGCTCCCAGGTCGCTTCCGTTCGCGTTAATGATGGTTACGAAACGATATGGCCGGTGGTTTAGTCATAATTCGCAAAAAGTTAGGAAGGATGTGTCCTATAAAATGTATACTTATCTATTTGCTAACTCGTCAGTTAACTGCTTGATTACAGATGCCAGTAATGAGGGGTCATATAAAATGCTTTGAATAGTACAGTCTATGCTATGAATTGAATATATTATTTGTAAACCTGACTGTATTGAAATCCTTTGTAAAAGTAAATACAGAAACAAAAATTAATACGTATGAAACATACTAGTCCTTACTTAAAAAACTACAGTTTTCTAGAATAAAAAACACTTCCTGGGTCAGGTTGAAATTCACATGCATAGGACTTTGGGCTAGATAGTATTATAATATTAAATAATAATCTGTTTTTCCAGTTGTTCGGAGGACTTCTGATTGGAGTTGGATTGTATGCGTTTATTGACAAATGGCAAGCTACTGGGCTCATAAAGGTAAGACTTGCATGCTAAAATAGTATTATACTATGGCATTTGTAAAAATAGGATATTATCCAAACAGAAAGATCCAATTTTCTTTGCCTCCTAAACTAGAGCACCCCTTCTAAATTACATAGGATCATGATAAGTGTTTAAAATTAAAAATAGTTATGTACACTTTTTTGAATATTTGATTTTGAAATATTAGAATGAAAATAATACGTATGTCTGCTCTTATCACTCAGTGCTAAACATAATTATGTGGTTTTCATCTAGTTCAGTTTTAGTCAGATATTTAATTTATCTAACAACACCATTTCCGAACGTTTAAACTTGTTTTCTATAGAATTTGTGTTGATGCTAGTGACAAATGCACTGATTTATGCTAAAACCAAATACCTATTTCCTCCTTAAATATCAATCATGTTTCTATTGAAAAATGTGTACCTAACAAAAATATTTTCTTTGGACTGTATTTATGTTTACTGATTCACATAATTTAAGTCTAATTTTGTTATTATGAGTGAGGAAAATAATATTATAATATAAGTCACCTCAAGAAGTATTTTCATGAAAATGTTTACATTATGTGGCTATAGTTTATCAATAATGATACTGAAGACAAATATTTGTTTACGAATGCTTTATCAATGCACATATTTTGCAAAAAACAAAGTTATAAAACCAGACATAGTTATTATCTGAAACATGTCTTATCAGGTCACATTGATTACATACAAAAAGTTTACAACTTAAACAATTTTACTCCTAAAGTACATTTTTATAAAGTAAATTTTTATGTATTTGCATTTTTGCATGCTGTTTATGATATAGGCTGAAAGGGTTAGGGTATGACAGTTTTTTTTTACAAAGGACCTATTTAATTCATACCGGGTTTGATGCAGACCGTCCCATTCGTAAAATGGTCACACTCAGATAAAAGCTGTTTAATATTATCAACCTAAAAGTTGGAACTATTGTATTCTGTAACTTTTATCTGAGTGTGATTATTTTGTGAATGGGACGGTCTGTGTTATAAACCCTTCATTCCTTATCATGAGAAAGGATAATAGAAACTAGTTCTATGGCATGACAAAATGTACGATAATGAAACTGCAGGCCTATACTAGTTGGCCACGTCCGACTTCATGACTTGGGTATTCCAGCAGTATTTACTATCATGCAGTTCTGATTAATAGGTTCATCCGGTTTGTAAGTGTGATAATAATAATGACTAAGTACTGATTTTATCAACTTATACTAATACTAGCTTTCCGCTCGCGGCTTCGCCCGCGTGGAATTTTGTCTGTCACAGAAAAACTTTATCGCGCGCGTCCCTGTTTCAAAAACCGGGATAAAAACTATCCTATGTTCTTTCCCGGGACTCAAACTATCTCTATGCCAAATTTCATCAAAATCGGTTGCGAGGTTTAAGCGGGAAAGCGTAACAGACAGACAGACAGACAGAGTTACTTTCGCATTTATAATATTAGTTGGGATTTTGTAAAGCTGAAGTATTTGTCCCATTTGAAAAAATAATTTTGTGTTGGAGAGCCCATTTATCGAGGAAGGCTTTAGGCTATATAACATCACCCGTTTACAGCCATTAGGAGAGGAGCAATAAAGAAAAATGTTGCAAAATTGTGAAAGATTTATTTAAAAAACTATTTTCACACGTACAGTCGCGGGAATAGCTAGTATTAAATACAGCCAACTGAGAGACAGCGGAGTATCTATACCGAGTAGTGCAGATGCTATCTAATGTTTTGTCCATGACTGATGGTGTATTTTTAACGCATCTATCGAGTGTTTTTGTAATGTCAAACGTCAGCGAGACTTCAGATCTCCTACAGATTATAAGCTTTGTCATTTAACAAATATGTCAATGTGCCTCCCTTGCCGCTGATTGAGTAAAGACTAGACCTATAAGTATGTTTGTACGTTCTCCGATCACCATCGTCGCTGCAGGAGGCCTGTAGCGGCCTAGACGGGCTGCTTGCCTTCTGGGGATCTGGGGTGGTTGGATAGATGATAGATAAGCCACAAATCGCGCACATTTTTTTTAAACAGATTATTAGTAATTTGTTGTTACACAAATTACTAATAGTCTCGTTAGCCCCTCGTACTATACTAAATATGCTTGTATCACGAGTGAGCTCACCACAATAGTCGAGCGGCGGCGGGGACCGAACCCGCGTTCCCCGGATCACGAGTCGGCCAGTCCGATGCCTTCACCGTTCGGCTATCGTGACTCAAATAATGGCCCAATCATGAGGCTAAGTGCGGTATTCGATTGCCCTGAAAAACTAACTAGCTAACTAACTGTACGTTCACAGCTGGATACGGTGTACGATGTGATGCTAAACATCAGCCTTCTCATCGCGTTGCTGGGCGGAGTGGTTTTCGTGGTCAGCTTTGCCGGCTGCGTGGGAGCGCTCCGGGAGAACACTTGCCTGCTTAAATTCGTGAGTTTCCATCTTTTTGACAGATTAACCATGGTGGACCGACGACATCGTAAAGGTAGCAGGGAAGCGCTGGACGCAGGCCGCATTGGGGGAGGCCTATGTTCAGCAGTGGACGTCCTATGGCTGAAATGATGAAGATGATGATGATTATGGCCTCATATGATTACTGAGGACGCTGAGGAACCGGACTGGACGAAAGTACGGGGGAGTCCCCGAAACAACTGGACGAAAGTGCGCGGGAGTTCCTCCAACATATAGGACGTTAGTCTGCGTGAAGCTTGAGCAGCAAGGTTCTCGAATGTACGCCACGTGCCCCCAGCTAGGCGTAGCGTGGATTAGATTTTTTTTATGCACAACGAGGAAGGTCTTGGCCTGTATCTCACCTGATGGTAAGTGATGATCAGGCCGAAGGTGGAAGCGAGCTTCACCCGAAATCCTCAACCACGGAGGAGTCCACCCACAAGGTGGACACATGACCTTCTGTTTCTGGTGGAAATGGTAGCAGTTATTAGACCACACCATTGGAGCAAAGAGCTATAGTTGGTTATTGTGCCATCATCACATTTTGAAACGTCTCTCTATTGACAATGACAAGCTTACAACTCTTACAAGCTAAGTATCTTCTCTTCCCTGTCCTGTAGGGAATACAGGCCTTCTTTTCCTATTTCTATTGCAGATGGGATGAGTTATTAGACCACGCGATAGCAATTAAGAGCCTGTATTTCGACTATAGCAACACTGATAACTTCGGACATACATAAGTGAATGTGACGCCTTAGGCCCAGAACAGAAACGCAACTGCAACTGATGATTCTTATGGATGAAACTGAAACCGAAAGTTTCAAACTGGTCGCGTCATGTGTGGTCTCTCAACGGACGCTACGGCAGAAACTTAGATGCAACTCAAAAGTAACTAGCAGTTGCAGTTTCGTTGCAGTTGCGTTTCACCGTCTGTTCTGGGCCTTAGTGTTTATATTATAAGAATGTAATGCAAGCTGTTGACTGTAATTTAGTTTCTCTTCTCTCCCCAGTATTCCCTCTGCCTTCTGATCCTGTTTCTCGTTGAAATGGGCGGCGCAGTATGCGGTTTCGTGTTCCCGCGTTCCCTGCACGGTCTACTCGAGCTGAGCTTCACGGAGCGGGTCGTGCACGCTTATAGAGATGATCCGGACTTGCAGAACTTTATAGACTTCGCCCAGAGCGATGTGAGTACCCAGTTTTGCAGGCTTTTAAAGGGTACTGAAGTTTCTTTATCTAGTAAAACCAGGACCAGGCGTTCAGAGCGGTATCATCATCATTTCAGGTTTCTTAATCTAGTGAATCCTGGACCAAGCGTTTGAAGCAATATCGTCATCATCATCATCATTACAGCCACAGGACGTCCACTGCTGAACATAGACCAAAGATTTCATCATCATCATCATCATCATCATAATCATCATCATCATCATCATTACAGCCACAGGACGTCCACTGCTGAACATGGCCTCCCCCAAAGATTTCTACATCGCCCGGTTGGTAGCGGCCTGCATCCAGCGCCTTCTTGCTACCTTTATGAGGTTCTCTGCCCACATTTTGGGTGGATGACACACGCTTACCACTTGCAGACTCCACTCCAGAATCTTGCTGCCCCATCAGCCGTCAGTTCTGCGTACTATGTGCCCTGCCCATTGCCACTTCAGCTTGCTAATCCGTCGGACTGTGTCAGTGACTTTACATGGTCGGTCCAGCGCATAGGTGACCTGCCTCGCATTCGGGTTCCTTCGACTTTTCCTTGGACGACCAGTCGCTCTATGAAGTTGTTATCCAGCCTTGAGACATGTCCAAAGCATTGAGTACGCGCGATTGTACTACGGCTAACAAACTATGTACCCTGCCCATTGCCACTTCTTGCTAATCCGTCGGGTTGTCAGCGACTTTAGCGATAGAGCGCTTTAAATCGCTTTAAAGCAGCTGCCAGCTATCGCGCGGGTTTCGTCGTGTTCCCGCGTTCCCTGCACGGTCTACTGGAGCTGAGCTTCACGGAGCGGGTCGTGCACGCTTATAGAGATGATCCGGACTTGCAGAACTTTATAGACTTCGCCCAGAGCGATGTGAGTACCCAGTTTTGCAGGCTTTTAAAGGCTACTGAAGCTTCTTTATCTAGTAAAACCAGGACCAGGCGTTCAGAGCGGTATCATCATCATCATCATTTCAGGTTTCTTAATCTAGTGAATCCTGGACCAAGCGTTTGAAGCAATATCATCATCATCATCATTACAGCCACAGGACGTCCACTGATGAACATAGACCAAAGATTTCATCATCATCATCATCATCATAATCATCATCATCATCATCATTACAGCCACAGGACGTCCACTGCTGAACATGGCCTCCCCCAATGATTTCCACATCGCCCTGTTGGTAGCGGCCTGCATCCAGCGCCTTCTTGCTACCTTTATGAGATCGGTCCACATTGTGGGTGGACGACACACGCTTACCACTTGCAGACTCCACTCCAGAATCTTGCTGCACCATCAGCCGTCAGTTCTGCGTACTAAGTGCTACGCCCATTGCCACAGCTTGCTAATCCGTCGGGCTGTGTCAGTGACTTTATTTGGTCAGTCCAGCGCATAGGTGACCTGTCTCGCGATCGGGTTCCATCGACTTTTCCTTGGACGACCAGTCGCTACTACGACAGTACATTTCTATAGTAAGCATTGTGACGCGGCCTAAGCGTGACGGTGTTTGTAGGAGACCAAAGCCTCCCAAAGCCTTAAGGTTTACATAAAAATTGGGGTTTTATTTTAGCAATTTCCTTGCGTTTCCAGTTCCACTGCTTCGGTTTGACCTCAGACGGGTACATGGACTGGTCCAAGAATGAGTAGGGTGATTGCTACAGTTATTGGCCCTTTAAGAGCGTTGTGTAAGTTAACTTGTGTAAAATGTAACAAAAACTCGACTTTTGTTTACTTTTTATATTTTATTATGAGAAAACAATATTGCTGCTATTTAGACTAGTACCTATTTGGTGTATATAAGAATAAGAATTACAATAATAATTTTAAAAATATCAGAGATCACATTAAATTTAGCTATTGGCCCCAAAATCACAGTAATTGGCTCCTAGAAGTACAGTTATTAGCCACCGAAAAAAACCCATAAAAATCACTGAAACTTCACGCTTTGTAATCCTAACTCATTTTGTCTTTCCTTAAGATTAGCTAAGGATTCGTCATCAGTATCACTCTTATCGATTTCTTCATCTATCTCATCATCGTCAGTACATTCAGTAACATTGTAACAATTGTGACAAAGATAACTGTCTCCTTCTTCTTCAGGAATATGCTGTTGCACAAGATTTATATTATGAAAGACACGGTGACATTCAGAGCATACTAAAAGTCTATTTTTTATAAGCTTTTTGCAAATATTACAGATTTGATTGGATACAGATAAATTATTCTTACTTTTTTTATTTTAGCAGTTTTCTTTTCTTCAGCTTTCAGTTTTCTGTCCTCTCTTTTATGTTCTCTTTCAATTTTCCGTTACCTTTTTTCTTTCTCGAGGATTTATTTTTCTTCCAGAATCCTCTGATATTCTGGTTACGGTAACGGTTCATCTCGTCGTTCTCGTTCGTCTACAAGTACCTATCTCATCTTCTTGGGTCCCAGTTTTAGGGTCTTTTGTCTCTCTTTCTTTATCTCTAGTTTGAAGTTCTCCTATTTCACTCAATGTTGATTCTTTCTCCCGACTTATAGGTTCAGGTTCATCTGTAACTTCCGCTTCCAATCCATTTTGCTTATAATAAATAGTCCCACAAACGATAGAGAATTAAAAAAAATCATTGTTTTGCATTTCAGGTATTATTTGTTTTATTTTTTTAAACTGATTAAGTGTTTCTGTTCCAACTACTTATACCAACCTTAGTATACTGTGTTACCAACGGCATCTTGTAACAATCTAGGTAAAGTAAATCAATAAAAATAGTTATTGGCCGTGCATAAGTGTCAGTAATTGGCCCCCCGGCTAATTACTGATCCTAATAGGTTAGGACGTTAGTATTTTAATAGCAAATATTTAAGGGTTAAATTAACTTAATCTTGAATAAAAATACAATAAAAGTAAAATNAATATTTTACAAATTAAAATAAAACCGCATGTTGCTTTACTTTCTCGTATCTATATATATAAAAGAAAGTCGTGTTAGTTACTCCACTTATAACTCAAGAACGGCTGAACCGATTTAGCTGAAAATTGTCAGGGAGGTAGTTTAGAGCCAGGAGAAGGACATAGGATACTTTTTATCCCGTTCGAAATAAAAAAAAAAGTCTGCTTATTTATTGCCATTAAGGCGGAACAAAGTTCGCCGGGTCAGCTAGTAGGTAATAAATGTAATTAATGGCTAGATTATTAATGTTACTTTGTTACCCTCAATAGTGAGGAGATCTTATAAAATGGTAACCCTGATTTTCATTGTCATTCAAGTGCTCTTTCTTCGCATAGGCTTCTGTGATTTGGCCAAGGGCCACACACATTGCGATAACATTATGCGACATTGATTTGACAGCAGCGGAGTGAAGTCTTGCGACTATGCAAAATGATACC